ATGCAAATTACTGCCGAAACGATTTACCGCTGTCGAAAAAGTAGGACAGCAAATTATACTATAATAAAAGGTGTAAGCTCTGAGTTCCAAGAAATTATTAGTAGGAAATAAATATTTCTACATTATACAAAACATTATTATTAACAAATCAAAAGTTTTTCGTGACTCTAGAATAACTCGCGCATTAATAAAAGAAGAAACTATTTTCGTGACTCATACCACGGGTTTAGCTGAATATTCAGCAGTTATTAATAAATTAGATACAGTACAATGGTTAGTATAAATATCTATTTTTTGAAAATGCATGTAACAAGAGGGTTTTTCAACACTTTACCACCATGTAGTCTTTCATGAAGGAAGTTATAATATCAGTTCTACTTCCGATTCTTGTGGTTTGTTTACATATTTTTCTAGGTCACGATATGAGTTAACCTTCGCTATTCTAAAAATAGATTCTGCTGCACCTGTGCTGATTTTCGGACAGGCGATTAGTGCATGTAATAAACCAGCGGATACTTACTTTGTTTACATGCAATACTTTTAGAAATTCTAAACAATTGTACGTAAGAAGCAAACAAGTTGAAAATGGAATTTAGTGTGAAAATGAAAAGACAACTAAACACCGTAGTGCTTAAGTGACATTTGAATTAAAATAAAAACGAAGTGCTCTAGCTGGCCCTTGTAAATACATTTTAAAAAAATACACTATTAATTGCTGATGATTTTAACCAAAAATATTTTTAATGAGACATATCCAAGAGAAATAAAAAAACAAATGACTTATATTTTATTGTCTATATGCCCACTATGTTATAACACGAAGCAATTCTAAATAACATTCTCACATGTATAATATATTATGCTTGAAGTTTATTTGCATGGTTTTATTTCAGAAATATTTTCGTTGACAGTTTTTTTTCTATTTACATATCATTTCTTGGAATAAATCGATAAGGACACTGATTTACAAGTTTGACCAGAGTTTTTAGGCATAAATTTCATTCTGTATTTAAATGCTTGAAAGTAGAAAGTCTGAATTATATCAGATTGGGACACAAAATATATATTGCTCTAAAAATCTCGAACTTGTATGGAACAAATTTTCTCTGTTATATATTTTGTCTTTTATTTTTGTTTGTTTTTTTTTTTTTCTAAAAAAAGCCTAAATGTCTCTCCAGTTGCATGTCCGTCGCATTCAGTGCTGCAGCACTTTGATTTAATTATACTTACAGAAGCAGTCATGAAATGTAAAAAATGTACAGCATCTGAAGTCGATTTAGATTGTAGAGAATGGTTTCGAAGTGCATGTGACAGAGACGGGGGCCGTAAAAGAAGACAAAAAACCAATGAAGGTGTCCAAGAAACACCCACTGAATAGAACTTTAAATATTTATAGCGATTTTGAAAGAAAAAAAGATGGCTCTTTTAATTTGGAAGTAATGTAAAGGACTTGTATCATTCTAGCCTAATAGTTCAAGACCATATAGCCTAAGAAGAATAAATCATACATAAATAGTGATATAGTTAAACTAAACATTATTGAGATATATTTAAGAAACAATATCAGTTTCTGTGTTGTTCTTCGGCTATTTAAAATCAGTTTAAGCTTGTGTGTCAGGCAGGATTATATATATTGTGTTTACATCGTTGCTGGATTAATGATTCTTCAGCCCCTGACCAGTTTAAAGTGACGCCATTCTGGCACTTGTATGAACAAGCTGCATACTTGGGATGACGTTTTTATGGTGCTTACGAGTTCGCGTCAATTTGTCTTATAAAACTTATATCAATCTGTTGGGTCGGTGAATGTGAGATGTTACTTTAGCATCATATGAAAAGAAAGAAAAAAAGTGAACTGAAAACATCAGAAAAAGTGCGTTATTATTTTTGCCGTAAAAAGAATTTGAAAACTATTTTTATTGAGGGAGAACAAAAAAAACAGCGGCATATTTGTGTAGTCCATAATCAGTGCTTATTGGAAGTTTACGCCGTTAAAATCCTTCTTTGTTATAGAAACAAAATCTCAAGGAGTGTTAGATTTACATAAGATGTACATATTGTTATTGTTTTTTACTCATTCAGTATTTCAATCGCACATATCAAATATTGAGATTATGGTCATAGCTTCATGATAATCAAATAATTTTTACAATTAAAATACTAAATCCTGCGATTTGTGAATCTATAATTCAATTATTGTTTTTTATTCGTTATTATAGGTTGTTTTTTTTGTTTTATGCTTTGTAAAAATATTATAAATCCATTTTATTACCATGCCTTGCCAAATGTATAGTCAAGTCTAGTCTTTATTTTTTGCATTGTTCTTTACATTGTTTTATTTTTACATTTATTTTCTTTAATAATTCTGCATAATTGCTGATACTTTTCATTTATTTTTTTCTATTATTGCATAATAGCTGAAGTATAGAGCAAAAAAAAAACACCCATACAAATGCAATGTTGTAGATTCATTCATAGTTTTTAAATGGAATTTAAATCGTAGCTTTTGAACATATTAAGTTTTATTATTGGCATTTTTAATTTGTTTGTTTATAATGTTTTACCAAGGAAGCAGAACTAAATTGAATTATTACTAGTCTTTTATATCTTTTTTAGTCAGGTATGTTTTTATTTAAAGTGAAGATGTATATTTGTTTAGAAATGGAAGCATGAGAAAAGAATTAACAGTGATGTTTGTACAATATATATATTATTTATCAACAGAAATAACAATTGAAGATGGCCATAAGGAGTTGTTTACCAATTAATGCAATCTAATGTAAAAGTCAAAAAATACTATTTAATGTGGGAATCTGAATATTAGTTATAGTATGATAAAATGATATAATGTCATCAGTGGGGAACTTTCTCAAGAGTGAATCTATTATATTCTTTAAAATTTTGATTTCTTAAATTTTATGTCTTCATTATAAAGATTCAGTAACCATGACAATTTATTTTCTTATTTACTTTCAATAATTATATATTAACAAAATTAATATGAGTGTTCTTCTATTACCAGTATATTGTCTGTGATTTTTTAAGGAAATTTTTGATTTCATTTATGAAATGGACTTAAATGTCTATATAATAGATTAATGATACAATTAGACTTCCTTAAACACTAAAAAAACTATTACAACATTGAATAACATAGATTGAAGACTAATATTGTTTTTTTTGTGTTTTTTTTCTCACATACTTCTCAAATATTTATAACAAAACGATGAAAAATGGATTGTTTGCTGTTATGTTATTGGGTTTTATTTGCAGTCTGCGATAAACAATTTAATTTTGATAAAGCAACAAATACTTGTTTACAGTACCATTGTCCTTTAAAAATACAAATATATTTTTAGCTCGACTATACGAAGTATATGGAGAGCTGTCCTACTCGCCCCGGCGTCCGCGTCCAGATTTCAGATTAAACTTAAAGTTTTGGTGCAGTAAAATATTTTTCACTATAACTTTGTCATTTCTAAAGGCATCAACTTTAAACTTAAAATATATGTTCCTTATCATCAACCACATCTTATGTGACAAGGTTCATAACTCTAGCACCAATATTTTCAGATTTATCTCCCCTTGAACTTAGAATTTTCCTTAAAAAATACAATTTTTTACTGTTACTTCTTTATTTCTAAAGGGATAAACCTCATACTTCAAATATATGTACCTTATCATCATCCCCATCTTATGTGACAAGGTTAATAACTCTAGCACCAATATTTTCAGATTTATCTCCCCTTGAACTTAGAATTTTCCTTAAAAAATACTATTTTTTACTGTTACTTCTTTATTTCTTAAGGGATCAACCTCATACTTCAAATATATGTACCTTATCATCCCCATCTTATGTGACAAGGTTCATAACTTTAGCACCAATATTTTCAGATTTATCTCCCCTTGAACTTAGAATTTTCTTTAAAAAATATTATTTTTTACTGTAACTTATTTATTTCTAAAGGGATCAACTTCATACTTCAAATAAATGTACTTATCATCATCCACATCTTATGTGACAAGTTCATAACTCTAGCACCAATGTTGCAAGAATTATCTCCCCATCAACTTAGATTTTTTTTACTAGAAAAATGTTATTTTTTACTATAACTTTTTTAGTTTTAAAGGTATCTACCTCAAACTTCAAATACTTATTCCTTATAATCAATTATATTTTATGTGACAATGTTCATAACTCTTGAAGTAATTTTTACAGATTTATCTCTCTTTGAACTTAGGATTTTCTTTAAGAAATATTATAACTTTGTTACTTTTTAAGGTATCTACTTCAAACTTCAAATATATACAAATGTACTTCTTATCATCACATACATGTTTAGTGTCAAGGTTCATAACTCTAGCGTGACTATTTCTAGAATTATTTCCCTTGATCTTGGAATTTATTTTAAGAAATGTTATTTTTTTACTATAACTTAATTAATACATAATTATACATAATTGATTTTTCTTTCATAGCTTTGTCCTCCTTACTGCGTCCAGTATTTTATTAGTCGAGCTTGGCTGTCTCCTGTGACAGCTCTTGTTTCCAATCTTTGTTAAATTCTCTTTTGACTGTGATGTTAACTGCGGTACACAATTAACATACATTTGTTAAAAAAAAATATTGATTCTATGATATACATGTATATTTGCCAAATGAAAATAAAAAGCTTGTATTTAAGCTCAATTGTTTTTTTTTTGTTAATTGGAATGAAAAAATCAAAGTAAAATGTTTTATTAGAAGAAAAATTAAAGGTTAATTTATGTCGGTATGACACCGGCTTCAAATCGATTTAATGATATACAGCCGATATCGGCCCGACTTGTAGCCGGGTTGCACATCCGACATCTGTCCGATATAAGAAATCGATATCGGGCCGACATAACAACTGATATCGGGCTGATATTGGACCGATATAAAATGTTTGCTGGGTAGTAATATAAAAGTTTGTCATACACTTATTCACGATGACTCTGTATATAACACTAAAATATTTGTGAATATCAGGTGATTTATAGGTCCATTGGGCCGGGTTTAAATGTTTTTAACCTAAATCTTAAGATATGTTTCATCCCTATTAGATGTAACACAAGTAACATACCTGTTGAAAAATGAAGGGCTCCCCGACTCTCGTTCGTCAGCACCAAATACCGAATGAAATATAATCGGAAAGCCTCTTTTAGCCAAATGATCCCAACGCAACATAGAATCAAGAATCATTCTGTCTCCGCATGCCTCCAACTCCCCGTCGTAAAACAAGTCACGTGGTACACTAATAATAGCATCATGTGAGCGGTAGTTGCGAACAAGTTTTGTAACGTAGCGTTCATTGTACCCCGAAGTGTCACATCTCTGGTACTCCGGAATTGTATTCATCAATCGCTCCAAAATAGAAGTTTCTACATCATAACAATAGGATACATTGATGTATTACTGCTAATAGTATTATATACCAATGGAATACAAATGATCAATTAAAGCATTGCTGGAGCCCAAACTGGAAATCTTTAATCTAGCACTACTTTAATCACGCTACAGGGCCTACTTTTTGTACAGTCTGTCTGGGACCTCAACTGTTTGATGTGATATCATTTAAATTGATATTGACTAATATCTAATGCAATTTTGAAAAAAAAACTTTTGATCGTTTCTATTTTTGCATTTAAATGCGTATACAAAGCCCAGTTTTGCTCCAAAAGATGATAATTAGTTTTATACATAATTTTCATAAAAAAGCAATAAAACAGAAAACAAAAGTACAATATTTGTATATATAAACGTACAAAGGAAATAATACCGAGATATTCAAAACAGATGACGGTATAAAATTTAAAGTAGACAAAACACAGATTATTTAAAAATATCAATGTTCATACCTAAGCCGAAATTACGAGCAAATTGTGACCTAAGAATTGGGCCCAATTGTTTTGGATCACCAGCTATCACCAGTTGCCCACAGTTTTCATTGCGATCATCTAGTAGTCCAGTTATCGGAATAATACATTCTGGTTCAATAGCATGGGCACCTTCATCGATGAATACATGAGTGAAGAAGTTTCTCTCAAACGACGCCGAAACTAACCTGAAGATAACCCAATTTAAAGATATACATGTACAATGCTCAAATTCGATATTAGAAAATTTTAATAATTGCTAGACATTCTTTATGTTAATATTAAATAAATATTTTTTTGATTCACACAAAGTAGATAATTTATATTATGTTTTAAATCCTGCACACAATAGATTATCTCAATATGATTACATTAAGTGTCATCAAAAAACCTTGCAGTTTCTTTAGGAAATCACCAACTTTACATTACCTGTAATAGGTAGGGAAGCAACTTTACATATACAGTTTATTCATTCTTTTATTCAAATTAGACATATTTAGTCAGACTATCATATATTCCAATAAAAATTATGTGATAAAAATGTTTTACTCAATGATGAGCATAGTATATCTTTAAGTGTTCAATATCATTTGAAAGTAGAAAAAGTAAAGGTTCATTAAATTTAATGCTCTCTCTTTATACAGAGAGGAGGGACAGGGGTCCGGGTGAGGATATATATAAAAATCTGGAAACATATTGATCCCTCGGAAGCATTAATCACATCAAAATTACATGAAAATTGCAGACTCGGTTTGATTGAGTCTGTACAAGAGGGATAATGGATAAGTGCAACATCCCTCATGCTGTGCTTTTATCTTTTCTGACGCAAATAGCGAGATACAATATTTGTTCAAATTCCTGTCTGCAAGTACATCTTTTTGTCATAAGAAAACGTGCGTGTTTATGTCTTTGGGTTTTTTTTGTTATACTATTGGTTATGTATAATTCTTATCACGAAAGGCGTAATGAAAATTAAAGATTCTCAGTAATTGTAATGATTTAGATATGTATTCCTTTACAAACTTATTCATTGTAATAGACGAGGTATTTTTGTCTTAACACATCTAATACTCGACTGCGTGGCGCAGCGTAAAAAAGGCTTACCTCCCAACAGTGCTTAGTGTCATTACGAGAATTTGGAATTTCTTCAGATCAGATATAGCTGGATAAAAGTTGAGTTGAGCTGTTTCGAATCCATGATTTCTTTAGGAATAGTAATCTTTGGTCTAGACATGGCATACAGTCTAAAGATGTCATTCTTCTTTATTGTGCCTGGTTGGTTAGGGTTGATAAGTTTCTTCATTAAGAAGTCGGCGGCAGTGTTTTCTGGACAACAAGCTAATATCCGTGCCTCGGGTTGGTTATGATATATCTTCAATAGATTCAACAGATTTTTTTTTTTTGAAAATTAAGAAAATGAGATTGTGTAAGATATTGTTCTGTAAGGATATAGTTCTAGAACAAAAACAGTAATATTTTTAACGCATGTTCTAGATTAAAGACATAAATGTTTCAATCAAAGACATAAAAATATATCAATGCTTATTCTAGAACAAAACATAAATAAATATTTCAGAGCATATTTGAGATTAAAGACATACATGTAAATATTTTAATGCACTTTCTAGATCAAAGGCATACATGTAAATATTTCAATGCATGCATATTCTAGATCAAAGACATAAATCATTTCAATACAAATTCTAAAACAAAGACATCAATATTCTAAGACAAAATGCTAATATTTTTCAATATACGTATGTATATTGTAGAACAAAATGTTAATATTTTGCACCTTAAATGTATAGTTAAGATATGTATATCACTCGAAAATTTGACATTTAAATTCACACGACATAAACATGCATGAGTAAAGAAAATTGACGATAAACTTAAAATTATCATATATCAGCCACTGGAAAATCTTTGCATCACCGGAATTGTGGCAAACTTCATTGTCATTTATACCTTCCCTAAACACTTAGAAATCATTTCATATGATAAAGATTTAAGGCGAATTCAAATAATTGATTTATGCTTTTATTTTTTCCTGATCTAAAAACGTCGTCCGGTTACCCACCCGGATTTATGCCCTTCGGGTGGAATTACAGGAATTTCCATTTGGATTTTTTCCCAATCTTATCATTTATTCGAACGGGTATTTCAATATTAGCAGAACCGATAAAATATATAGATTATCAATAATACATCCTTTGTTATATATCACACAATGGCATTTGTTATTATAAATGTTGTTAAACCTGTCTTATAGCCTCGGTAACTGTGACTGTCTTTCCGGTTCCTGGTGGACCAAATATCAAGTAAGGACCTGGACGACTGGTTCCCTTTACAATGTTTGCCACAGCCGTCCGCTGCTCTTCATTGACATTTCTATCAAACCAAGGCCTTAAAGGTTTCAACGAATGATTCATTTAACCGGGAATATAAAACTTTTTGCCTTAAAGTTACAAACAAATTATTTCTAACAAACTTACTACCTTTGGAATTTCTGGAATAATATTCAATTGTTATATTCATAAACTTTGTTTGCAAATGATAGTATTTTGTATAGAGGTGAAAATATTTCTGTGATAACATTTTGCTTCCTTTACGGCACATAACTGTGCGTTCAGGGCTATACTTTGTTCAGTTGTTGAATATCTAATATTCTCTTAACCTATTACTAAAATATTACCAGAAACATATTTCTGAGGCATAAAGTGTCTTTAAAGGAACTCCACTGAGACATCTTTACATTATCTGGACAGGGGATATCTTCTCGAAATTTTAAGAACATCCGATGTAAATCTATACATATAACTCTAAAATTACAGATTATTACCACATTTCGTTTTCTAGAGGAGCAAAACTAAATTAATTGAAAGCATTTAAACGCATTTAACTTAACTCGAGCTAGAATTCGCACTGAAAATTTATTTTCAATTCTGAATAATTGTGTGTATCTCGTTTTTTCTGTTTTCAATGCCTAATTTGATCTATGTTAGATTTTTGTTTAAATTTTACGTTTTTAGCCTTTTTGACCACAGTGGAGTTCATTTCAAGCAAAATTGAGATTCGAAAATAGAAATAATGGTCGTATAAGTGAATATTGGCCAAGTGGTTAACGTGTCGGACTAATAATCCAAGTATTGCTGGCCACGTGTCAGGGACAATTTATTGTTTCTTTGAGCATGAAACTTTACACTCATTGCTTAGTAGAGGTTGGCTGTAGGAACGGATTCGAGAGTGTTTCAATAAGCTTATATCCTCTAACACAATCAATCTAATATAAATTATTTTAAACATTTTCTTTATTATAACTGCTCTATTTTAGAAGCTGTTCATGAAATTTATCTGAAATGATACAATACAGATCAAATATTACTGATAAAATAAAATTCAATGTCAACACTTAAAAAAAAATTAAATTAGTTGTTAACTTAAGTAACATTCGTAAATTACTTTAGTGGAAAATTGTCTTCTCTCTCGGATAACGAAGTTTCTTCGGAAGGAAAAAGAATCGTTTCTGCATACTTCAGACCAGTTAGAGCTCTATGCTGTATCCATAAATTAAACTTTAGAAAGTCAAATCTGATTTCATATCTTTTGCCTTTAATCCAAGTATCTCTCAATCTGTAATTGAAACTAACTGTACAGTAAAATCTTGATACATATATTGTCAATATCAAATAGCAAATATTAAAGCTACAGTATGAAATGCTTTGCACACAGCATGGATAAATTATTAGTTTTCACATTGTTTGATTTCTTTTTCACTTCTGAAATATTTTTTGAAATTAGAAATCCGACTTAAGCCGTTGCATGGAGTTGCATTGGGTATGTTATACAATATCAAGAGGCGGTGCGGGAAATGTATCACGCTCCCATGGGCCATAGTGAAGTGGGTACACTTTTGACGGTTGCAGTTCTGTTTGATTGATCCAATGGAGGGTGGTGGTTAATGCACGATATCGTGCATATCTTCTAGCGCTTAATTCAATATTTAAAAAGGAAAATGATGAATTTGACTTAAAACCATTTGCAGATAAAAACTAGCAATAGTGTTTGCAATAATATTGTGAACTGTGGTGGTTAATATTATTAATAAATAAATATAATAAAATATTTTTTAACCTATACTGCATAAAACATAAAAAGAAATGTTTGCCTCACCTCTTGGAAACACCTAGATCTACAGTCTCCAACTCTACCTTATGCACTATACCTTCATATCGAACATTTCTGTTTCCATCGGCAAAAATATACACCCTATCCCCTCTCATTATTGAAGGCCGTCTCTCCATCAGACCCGGAACCTTTATACACAAAATAGCAATTTTATTCAGCCTTGGAATCTTCATACACAAAATGGTATATAATAACAAATATAATTAAGATTGTATGAATAACGTTTTATCAGAGATTAATAATAGAAAGGTAAGTAATCAAATAACACGTTTAACGACTTTACTCTTATAATGATCGAGCCAAGCTGGTGTCAACCTGTCATGACGTAACGTCATGACAATTGACCAATCATGTTAACACAAATTACTGCATGAAAGCCTACAATTTCTGGTTATATACTAAACAACAAAATAAAAATAAAGGTTGACAGTGAGAACAGAAAATTTACAACACACATTCTTACAAAATATCAAATATTCTATAAATGGTATATCGACAGAAAAGAGGACAAAGTTAAAACGTAAAAATAACAAAATTAGACTATGAATCACGCTAGCGCTTGAAGGGAAGTATTTTTTTATTTAAATTTTGGCATGATAATTTTGAAAATTAATGTAAATAAAATAAAGCTCAGGTCATTTCTGGAAGGAATCAAAACGATTAACACTTAACCTGTTGGAACTAAGTCGGATAGCTTTTGTAATCAGTTAAGAGCGAGCATTTTACACCATTGATGTTTGAATAGGCTCTATATTGTTGATAGCTCATTTTTTTTTTTTTTTTTTTTTTTGATATTGCAATCCCTCATTATCTTCAATAAGCTTACTAGATAGAAAATGATAGAGCTATTTGAGCGTAAATTGCATCATAATTTAAATATCAATGACATCTATAAAATAATAACTGAAATGCTAACAAATAAGATTGGCGATTAGTAATCTGAGGATTGCTGATCGCGGGGTTCAAACCCCATCAGTGGGGAGCTGTTGTTTTGTGAGCAAGAAACTTTACACTTATTGCTTAGTACTGCATGAAGTTAGTTCAAGGAACGGATTCGAAAGTGTTTCAATAAGCTTATAGCTTCCAACACAATCGAACTTAAGTTAATTCGTATAAACTAAACCTAAAAATGCCACAAAAGAAAATATTGCACATTTTCAATGATCAGATGAAGGAAAATAGACAAAGAGCATACGAAATGGCTTGCTCGCTCCTTTTAAAAACACATGCCAATTGTATAAACAGAGTAAATAAAACTTTTTTTGAGACAAAAACACATATAAAAGGGAACGATTGCCTTTACTGGTGACGGTGTCTTTTTGTCAACACAGGTATCATGAGTTCGAACGTTTCTCAGTCGCGACCAAGTTTCCACAAATTACACCGATACCTGTCAGTTTAATAAAGTGGACTCAGGAGAGGTTTCAAATAAGATTCAAGCTTTCATCACAAAGTTAGAATAATTACGTTTAAACTCAAACTTTAACATACCTCTAAAATCATGACTCTTCTGTGCATGTCAAGCGTCATCTCGTGAGACTTGAGATCATATATTTTTATGTCTTTAATCATTTGGAGCTCTTCTGTCCACAACAGTGTGTCAAACTTCGACTTATAGTTTGTTATGTTGAGGTCGCAGTCAATTGCGCGTCTGTATTAGCATAGTTATAAATAAAAGTTATCAATGGTGAATGAAAATTGTCAAAATCATCCAATATATTGAATCTCAGTTGGTTAATTCTGAATAGGTTAAATCTGCATTAAGTTTGACTAGCCTTTTAAACAATGTGGTAACAAACAAAAACATGAATTAATAAAAAGATATAGATACCAAATGTGTAGCTATTCCAGCAATTGTTCAGTCTAATTAAAGACTGTAATTTTGGATAAGGCATTAAGAAATGCAGATAAGTCGTAAAATGTGAAATGGCTTCAAATAAGACATAGAAAAGGGCAAAAGAGTAAAATTCACAGACAGT